CGTGGCAGGTGTAGAAGCAAAAGCAGAGCTACGGATGGCACAGCTTCCGAGCTGATCTCCATCTCTGAACGGACCGTACCAGAGCTCACGGAAAACTCTAACACTCTGCAACAACATCTCCGACGACGAATCCGCTAAGCGGATGACCTGGAAAACCCTAACACGAGACTCCTTGTCGTTTGGATTGAACAGACAATGCTCAACCTCGAGCTGGTTTTCCCCAAGAGGCCAGAGAGCGACATAGGAGCCAGAGACAGAGTAAGAGAATGCTGATGCGGTTGCGATGCTTCTCTCGTCGACGGAGTAACGGGTGGGTAAATCAGCTTCGCATCCAACGGTTGGGTAAAGTTTGATAGACTTGTAAAGGAAGGATTGTGCGTCGGCGACGGCGAGAGTGGGGCATTGCGTCTGCCAATCGAACACCTTCACTTCCCATTCTTTGTACGCCTCTGGAACCACTGATTCCGGTAGCTCAAGCGGCTTTCCTCCATCGCCAGGAAAATCTGCTCCGAAACCATCCCATTCTCCGGACACGTTTTGAGCGAACTCAGACCACGACGCTTCAACAAGAGAATCCATCAACAAATTTCAACCTTTGATTTTCCGATCTAAATCGAGAGAGAGAGAGATTAGGTAGAGAGTTTTACGATTGAACTCAGCGGAGGAACAAGAAACAGGGGAAATTGTGAACAAATCCTAAATTGGAATAGAAGGGAATAGAGAAAGCTTTGATCGAAGAAGGCGGAGGTGCGATTCCGCCATTAGAGGTGGAGCTTGATTCAAATGGTGTTTCTTATTGGGCCTGAATCGGTTTTGTCATACTAATGGGCCGGCCCATCAAGGACGATGACTTGATGATGTTCTTGCTCTGTTTGTCTTCTGATTCTCTGTTTATATCTTTGGACATTTGTTTATACAGATTTTTATAATTAATTTGTAGTTTGGAATACAAAAAACACAAACTATTGTAATATATTTGAAATAATATAAAGTTGTGACTGAAACTTGATGTAAGATACAGACACTTTTTAAGATGAAGATAATAATAACAATCATTCAGCAGAATACAAAAATAAAAAGGAGGCAAGAAGATAAAACAGAGTAAAAACGAATAGTTTTTGACAATATTTGTCGGATATTTGTCTTTTTCTTTATTGTTCATATCATATCTGTAAAAAGTGTTCTTGAAACACATCCATGGCTGAAGCAGGAAGCCCAAGAAGCACATTGATGCTTCTCCTCTCTTCTCCATGAGACAAAAACAGAGTCACCTCCTTCTCAGGCAAAGCGACTGGACCGGACAAAACCGGTTCTCCCCAACCGAAATCTGTGGTGTGAAAACCCAATCTTGACCATGTAGTGATCAGAAGAGTCGAGGAAAGAGATGGTCTTGCTCTTGTCACTTCGAAGTAGTCAATGGCAGATCTCATGTATCCATCAGTTACCATCTTAATCGCTTCTCTAACTAGCCCAACAGCGAAGCTCAGCGGTTTCTCGGTTAGCTCTCCAGCTTCACAGATTGAGTTCGTGAGAACGATTCCATTCCCAAAGTAGCCTTTTGGCAACTGAGGCTCGAACTTGGCTCTACCATCAACAGCGAAGAGAAGCTTCGTTTTCTGATCACTCAACATCTTGAGTGACTTGGTTCTTGCTCTCCAGACAAAAGCAGATAAAGCCTCAAAAGTTGTGCACTTGTTACCGAGGAGAGATTCACTGTTCTCTGTTGCTTGGAGCTTAAGTTTCTTGATTTTCTCTGGATCAAAGCAGAAAGATCTATAGAGAGTTGGCTCTTTGGAGTAAAGAGAGTTGATGCTGGATTTGTCTTCAATCTCTTCGAATTCTTGGTGAAGATTCTCGATCTTTGGAGGGTTTCGAGCATTGAGAATGGTTCGGTCCGAAAATGGAGGAGTTGTTAATGGTAAGCCTCTAGCGACCTGACCCCATGAGTTAACAAACTCCATAGCTCCAATCCCATCGAACATACAGTGATTCATGCAGAGTCCAAGAACAAACCCTCCACATTTGAATTTAGTCACCTATATGTTAAACCCTTTCAAATTAGATATCATCTAATTAAAACATTACTAAAACAAAAAGGTTACTTGCGGAGGAAGAAAAGTAAACCTGAGCAGTAACAGGAGGGATTTCAAGAATGTTCTTGGCGTCTACAACATCATAGACAAGCTTCCCTAGAGTTTCAGGGTCCGGTTTCGTGATGTCACCAATCTCATCCATTTTACAGTTTGCTTCTGCTTCCACAAACACAACTCCTTCTTCAGTACAGTCCACTGTGAGTTTACCTGAATTTTCACAACCATTAAAGACATTAACTAATGTTGTTGTGTGAGTTCAAATAATTAAAGACTGAAACCGAAAGTGATCATTAATTGTCTTTAACCAATTACCTTCAGGACTTATGGTGAGACGTCCTGCAAGAGGATAGTAATGAACAAGAACTTGACTCAGAGCTTTCTTGATCACTTGGACTGCTTCCACGTTACCTCTCTCCTCAGATTTGAAACAGTAGATTGTGCGGACGATCACGGCGATGTTCTGATCAAGATTCGACAAGAAGTAAAGACCCTTTGGTGTCTCGGATTCGGGTTTGACCAAAGCTTGATCCTTTTGAAGAACCTCAAGATGAAAGTTAGTTCCTTTCATGTTGTTGTTTTCCATTGAAGCAGACAGTGTTACTTCCTTGTTGTTGTTCTCGGCAACCTGAAGAACAAAAGAAGGCTGAGCATAATTAGTTAAACAGAATTTTGAAACAAAGTAAGAGAACATGATGAAAAAGCAATAACACAAACCATTTTTGATCCAAATGGAGAAACCAGCAAAATGGGTTTTGTGAAAAAAGGGAGCTGTTTTTGGGGTATTCAATTAATGTTGAATGTTATGAAGTCGAGTTGGAATCTCATGAGATATATATGGGGAAATCAATGAGGATTATTGTGGGATCCACAAACTCATAAAAATCTTGTCTTGTTTAAAATAAAAATGGCGTGAGAATTATGTGAAGATAGAATACTTGGACGGTTTTGATTGAAAGATAAGATATTATTTATTCATTAAAACGAAGTATTGACTAATTATATAATTATTTTTCTATGTATTGAATTTTAACGTATTTCATATAGTATTTTGGTAAAGGGTTTTTCATATAGTTAGGGTTAGGTGACTGAATAAATGACCTAACACAACAAACACTAATGTGTATTTTTTGGTAGTTGAGAGTAGGCCTCCCAATTTTTGGATGACTTCTTCGTTTTCTTTCTCTTTGTCATTATATCTTACTCTTGACTATGTTTTTCTTTTACCAAAAGAATCCAATTGGATGATATCATGTATATTATCAACTCTCTAAGAAAACTTCAACCACACAACTGAAACTTTTACATTTTTCAAGAATAGATTTTTTGGTTAAGAAATTCAAAAAATTTAACAGTTTTTCCAATTGAAATATACTAGTTTATGTCAAACAACGGCCGTTCTCACATAATTCGTACACTTGACGAAATACAATCGTGATTTGTCTAGACCACGAAATCGAATTGCTTAGCAAAACTATAGTTGTTGAGTCGTAGAAAACCCAAAACTTAAGAATGTTCTATATGAAAAAGAAGGATGGTTTATAAGGGAAAAAAAAACTAAAACTAAACACCATGAGCTACTAATAGACATATTCTTTGTTTTTAATTAGTAATGTATATATGTCATTGTTTTAGTTCTAAAATGTTATAGAATTCTAGAAAGTACGTCAAATAGAGAAGTTTCCACGTATAAGTATTATCTTAACGAGTTATTTTGGCAACTTTTGTTTTCAGTTTAAAAAGAGAGAAGAATAAAAAGATATATAAGTCAGGTTGTTCAAATTACAATGTAGTTTTCTTCCTTGTTTGTCTCTTCTTGGCTGGAGAAAGTTTAGGTTACCGAATTAATCAAGAAGGAGGGACCAGAGAGAATCACACATCTCCCACCGCCAAGTGAAAACGCATCTCTCTATATCGTATTAATCGAAGCCAACGTCTAGTTGACCAATTATTTTCAACGTTTTTCAATTTTATTTTTGACCAATAACTTAACATCCACCGCACACTTATCCCATAGAGCTGCAAACATGTTCATCTACATTTTGAAACGGGATAATCAAATCTTTTAACATAAAGTACATGTGAACGCAGAACTTTCTTAGAGAGTTTTTACCAAAAAAAACTTTCTTAGAGTTGAATAAGAGATCCAAAACAAGCATCACATAGAGGAGTGAATATTATGTATTTCCGTACTTTTCTTGGAGCTAATCAAATATTCTGTTTTATATATCCTTACAATCTGAAAATTTAACTACTTTCTGATAAATTATTAAGCTTGAGAAGTTAAGATTAGTTAAGGCTAAAGCATTTCGAAAATTTTGTTTCAGATTGATTAGTTCATGATTGCATTTTGGTTTTAGGCTTATCTTGCCTTGAGGCCCATTTCATTATTTATGGGCTGTTGATGCAATACAAAGAAGAACATCATACAGTTTCGCTGTTCCGTGAAGACTGCGCGTCGTTTTCTCTACCCAAAAACGTCCTGTAGTCCAAATTCTGCCAGCCAAGACGGTAAGCCAATGTCTGCATTAGCTATCATCAGGGAGCAAAAGAGATCAACCATGGCATACTCTTAAAACAACTTAAGCTTTAACCAAACTCCCAAATAAACAATTTAAACTTCTCAACAGCTTTTGGAAGTGCAACAAAGTGCTTGAATATGCAAAGAAGTCTCAATTAAAGAGAAGAAACTAACTTAGTAAGTTGATAGCGTAATTAGTACATCAAAGCCATTTGCTTATAGAGAGTTTAAGCAAAAAGAAGCTATGATTAAGCACATTGTGCCACAAAATGCATTCCCTAAAGCCATAAAGCTAAAGCTTGAGATTTTCAGCAAAAGCATATATCGCATTACCACTAAATATCTATATATTCAAGATCTAACTTAAAAAGCCATTAAAGGTTTGAGCTTTAAGAACCATTTTTCTCTGCATTCTCCTGCTGAGCTTCATGTGGATGATGATCATGATTTTGAAGAACCTGAGCTTGATCTTGACCCATTTGCGGATAAATCTGTCGATTCAAAACCCCATCTTGAGACAACCCTAATCCAAGCTCAGGCATTTGATTACTCGCAAAACCCATCTCTGAAGAACCATCGAAACCAAACCCAAACAGCCCAATTCCGTAATTCAAATCAAATCCTCCTGTGGCTGAAGCATTGTTAGCTCCATTTGGCCAAAACCCATTTGCAATTTCAGACCTTGAAGCCTCGTTTAGGTTCAAATCGGCGGTGAGAGGAGGAGGAGGTTGATGAGAAACAGAGTCGGCGGGTTTGATTACAGTTCCGGTGGCGGAGATAATCGACGGCTCAGCATGGTAGAGCAACCATTGGAGAGTCTCGCCGTCGGATTTGTGACCTAACTCTCTAGTCAATTGATAAATCCTCGCAGCACAGAGTAGAGGCAACCTAATTCTCCGACTTCTTCCTTCGACTTTAAGGTGTCGATCTTTGGTCGGTTTCTTGTTCTTCACAATCTGTTGCTCCTCTGCCTCCTTCTCTTTCTCCTTCTTCTTCCACTTTCTCTTTCTTTCGACAGTGTTTAAACCCTTGACATCGGTTTGTTTCCTCTTCTTCCCGTTGTCCTGATTCTTCTGCGGTGAACAAGGGTTTAACAAGTTTGGTACTTGTGGTTGATTTGGTGGGTTCTTGGGATCCATGACCAAAGTCAAGGTGTGGGGACTTCTGAGGTTAAAAAATTACCAAACTTTTTCCTCCTTCTCTCTTACAGAGATTAGAGATCGGCGAGTGTGCCTTTTAAGTTTTGACCTAGGTAAACCGTAAAGGTAACAACAATTATTGGAGTGATAACCGAAGTAACCGGAATAAATAATGAGTTTAGAAATTTTAACATATATAACTCGTACATATGATATGTTTGTTTGTTTATCTACCTATGGAAACCATGTAAAATATTTAAGTTCGACAAATTTTTGGTTTTTGTGTTACTTTTTTTTTTCAAGCTTCCTCACTTTGATTAATTTGAAGCAAAGCCAATGTCAAAGATATTCTTTACCTTAGATGATAAATCTTCAAATTTGTTGAGAGTAGTTACGCTTACTTAACAAAATAGCCTTTCGACAAAGTAAATGATATATATAGCTCTATTAATATTCTTACATTTGCCGCACTGCCTAATATCGATCGACCATTAAAATGGTTACAAATAAAAAGCTTGCAATCAAGGATAATCTAACTAGTCTTTTATTTGCATCATTTGTTTTTAGTTGTATTTACACTAAGTGAGTGAGCAAAACTATTTTTATGCTCTAAGAGCAAAGACTCTAAACAGAACCATGGATAAACTTGGCCTTGTCTTCCAAGTTCCAATAAATGCCACAAGGGAAAGATTTTGTGATAAATGTTGAAATTTTTCTGAGAAAGGAATTATAGTGGAATATCCGATAAAAGAGCGAGAAGAAAAAAACCACAGAAGTCACTTATTTAAAAACGCAAACACAGATTCTTATTATTAAGTGGTTGATGATGAAACAAACATGGAGCCGCAAATTCCTTGGTTAGAGAAATCTAACTAGGGAAGTACTTGGTCGAAGAAATTGCCTCCATTTCGACTTGAACCTTTAACTCATCGGGCCCAAACAAACCCCCAAGGAAACCCCCAAATAAAGATCTGAGATCAGAGAGTGACATGAAATTAGCGAAGCCCCAACCTCGAGATCCAGCACCGTACCACGTATCCACTGCCAACACGACGTACGAAAGATTAAATAGTTAATGATGAGCCGATGAATATGCATGGGTATATAAATCATATACTTACGTAGCCTTTCAACATTATTGGATGGGATTATGTTAAGAACTCTAAGCTTGGCTCGAACAAAAATCTTCTCATAGGGTTTGATTTTCTCGTTCTCATCCATCTTAAGATACACCGACAAGGATCTTCCCTTTGCCCTACTATCACCATTTGGATACACTTGTAGTTTCCTGATCATCAATCATATGGAGTACCTGTTACTAAACTATACTCCATATTTTTTGAAGTTAAAGACTACAACTATACTCTATTACTCTGTGTTTTAAAAAAAAAAAACAAACTCTATTACTCTATTAAAAAAGCACAAAAAAATTTCATTAAAAAATATAATGAGGACTCACCAACTTCTTCCTCCAACGGAGAACGCATCCGAAGAGTAGTCATCTTTGGGCAGCGTGGAAAATCTCTGAAGCGTCCAAGTGTATCTTGGGGTAGGGAAATTATGAGTGATAGTGAAAAGTTCTGACATTTTAAAGGGAGTGGGAATAGACACATCAACACCAAACTCGCAGTGATCTCCATCGTAAAGGTAACCATTTCTCGAGTCTTTAAGTGTATCAAGAGGGAGGACCTGGGAGAATCCCCACATCGTTTTGAAGACATTGAATCGCCAAACATTTGTATCTGATCAGTAACATAACAAAGAATGATATATCTTTAAAAATATCCCCAATGAGAGTCTCTTGATGAGTCTCTCATCCATAGAAAATAAGAAAATAATAGGAGGAAAAAGACTAGTCTATCATTTGTTGAGAAACTCTCAAGACACTTGTCTCTCTTTAATTGGCTTAACTTCTCTTATACCTTCAAAATTAATTGTAAATTTTACTGTATACCATTACTATTTATAGAGCATCTTTATTGTTTGAAGATGGCATTTTTTTCTTCTTTTGGATTAATTTTAAAGAATTTAGCAAAGAACCTTGGATTGTGAAGTACTTCCTCTCGTTCTTGTTGAAGATGTAAAACCTGAGATCTGCGTAAACGTCTCTATGTGCAGCGAGGAGACTCGAGTTGTCTATGGCTACGTAAAGCGAAAGGAACCCTGTACCATTGTCCCTCTTGTTCCCGTTAGGGTACACAACAAGTGTCCTGTGTGGATACATAATGTTTTAGTATATAAGATCTGATTGATACGAGTGAAGAAGGATCAATTTTCCAACGTACCAGTTGTATTCACCAACCGGAAAAGGACGAGACCGGTAGCTCTCTGTGTTCTTTGAATTAAGGAGAATGCTGAAAGATTCCATCTTCAAACTGTAAGAAGATGGAGCATGATTCCTCAGACCTTTCACTGTGCTCGAAGCTGAGGCTCTATTATTATCACGTGATGACATCTCCTGATGGTTATCTCTGTAATGCGCTTCCTCCAGGTTTAAGTTTGGTTCTGCTCCAATCGGCTCTGGTTCTAAGCAAAAATTAACAAGAGCATGTGTCAAGTTGTTTAACAATAAATAGATGGATCACTTAAAAAAGTAAGAACAAAGAAAAGATGGCATATACGCTGTAGATTTGAGTTGAAGTCATCAGTGAATTTTCGTATGTAGGAACGTTCAGAGGAGGCAAATGTGATGAAGAGACAAAGCAGGAGAGAAACAAAAGAGATGGTGTTTCTGTAGGGACTCGTCATCTTTTAAGGTGGTTATATATTTGAATGAAGTGAAGAGATACAGAGATTATTAGTGAGAGTTATATAGTGGTGAGACATGTATACCTAACTCTTTGAAGGCTCAATATATAAATGAATTTATTTATTTTTCTTTTGTAAACCTAACTGTTATTTTCATTGCCTTGTGGTTGACGAGAAAATATAAAGTTTGCCCTATTCGGTTCTTACATGTATCATGGGGAAAAAAAAAAAAAAATACCTTCAAAGAATTCGTTATTTTGTTGTTATTTTCACTGCCTCGATCGTGTTTGACATGAAATACAAAGATGGCGCTATCGGTGCATGACGGAGTCTCCAAGGGATGCCACATGTGCAGCTGTGCTTTACGTGGATGTATCACTCTGCAGTTTCTTGGATTTCTATTCAGTCTTGCATGTATGAGGTGAAGAAAGTGAAGTGTGATATACAAGCCAAACGTGACTAGATTAATTAGAGTCTCATGTGTTTCTATGCATTTATCCGGTTAGTATTTGCGTAAGAAAACGTTTTGAACATGTGTTTTGGTGCCAAGTGAACATGTGTTTCTGTGTTCATATCATATTAATTGAAGCCAACGTCTAGATGACAATTTTCTTCAACGTTTTTCAACTTTATTTTTGACCAATATATAGAACTGTGAAACATGTTTCTTCATCTACATTTTGAAACGGGATGATCGAATCTTTAAACATACATATGTGAATGCAGGACTTAATTTCAGTCTAGAGTTAAATAAGAAATCCAAAACAAGCATCAAATGTAAGGCTGGACAATAAATGATGAGTGAAAATTATGTTTTTAAAAAACTTTTTTCCCTTTTTTATATACACATTTCTGTATATTTTCTTGGAGCTAATCAACTATCCGGCTTTCAATCTGAAAACTTAACTCCGTTCTGATAAATTAAGTAAAAAAATTAGAAAAACTTAAGAAGTCAAGATTAGATCATGTCAAATGTTGATCATTTTGAATATTTTGTTTCAGACTGATTAATTAGATCTTGATTCCATTCGGTTTTTCGGCTTATCTTGCATCGAGTCATTGTTTATGTGGCTTTTGACGCAATACAAAAAAACATTATACTATTTCGCTGTTCTCGTGAAACAACGCGCGTCGTTTTCTCAACCAAGAAATGTACCCTAGTCCAAATTCTATCAGCCAAGACGCTAAGCCAATGTCTGCAAGCCATCATCAAAGACCAAAAGAGATTAACCATGTCAAGTTTATGCTCGAAGAGCAAAGACTCTAAACAGAACCATGGATAAACTTGGCCTTGTCTTCCAATAAATGCCACAAAGGAAAGATTTGTAATAAATGTTGAAAATTTTCTGAGAAAGGAATTATAGTGGAATATCCGATAAAAGAGCGAGAAAATAAAAAATACAGAAGTCATTTATTTAAAAACGCAAACACAGATTCTTATTATTAAGTGGTTGATTATGAAACAAACATGGAGCCGCAAATTCCTTGGTTAAAGAAATCTAACTAGGGAAGTACTTGGTCGAAGAAATGGCTTCCATTTCGACTTGAACCCTTAACTCATCGGGCCCAAACAAACCCCCAAGGAAACCCCCAAATAAAGATCTGAGATCAGAGAGTGACATGAAATTAGCGAAACCCCAACTTCGAGATCCACTCGGAGGAGAAGCGTACCATATATCCACTGCCACCAAGACGTACAAAAGATTAAATATTTAATGATGAGTCGATGAATATATATGCATGATATATATATATATATATATATTTTTTTTTTTTTTTGATTTATATGCATGGATATATAAATCATATACTTACCTTGCCTTTCAACATTTCTGGATGGGATTATGTTAAGAACTCTAAGCTTGGCTCGAACATAAATCTTCTCATAGGGTCTGATTTTCTCGTTCTCATCCAGGTAAAGATACACCGACAAGGATCTTCCCTTTGCCATACTATCACCATTTGGATACACTTGTAGTCTCCTGATCATCAATCATATGGACTACTTGTTACTAAACTATACTCCATTTTTCTTTTTTAACTATACTCAATTACTCTAATTAAAAAATCGCAAAAAAAAAAATATATATATATATATATAATGAGGACTCACCAACGTCTTCCTCCAACGGAGAACGCATCCGAAGAGTAGTCATCTTTGAGCAGCGTGGAAAATCTCTGAAGCGTCCAAGTGTAGATTGGGGTAGGGAAATTATGAGTGATAGTGAAAAGTTCTGACATTTTAAAGGGAGTGGGAATAGACACATCAACACCAAACTCGCAGTGATCTCCATCGTAAAGGAAACCATTTCTCGAGTCTTTAAATGTATCAAGAGGGAGGACCTGGGAGAATCCCCACATCGTTTTGAAGACATTGAATCGCCAAACATTTGTTTCTGATCAATAACATAACAAAGAATGATATATCTTTAAAAATATCTCCAATGAGAGTCTCTTGATGAGTCTCTCATCCATAGAAAATAAGAAAATAATAGGAGGAAAAAGACTAGTCTATCATTTGGTGAGAGACTCTCAAGACACTTGTCTCTCTTCACTTGGCTTAATTTCTCTTATACATTCAAAATTAGTTGTAAAATTTACTGTATACCATTACTATTAGTATATTACTATTTATAGAGCATCTTTCTAGTTTAAAAATGGCATTTTTCTTCTTCTTTTGGATTAATTTTAAAGAATTTAGCAAAGAACCTTGGATTGTGAAGTACTTCCTCTCGTTCTTGTTGAAGATGTAAAACCTGAGATCTGCGTAAACGTCTCTATGTGCAGCGAGGAGACTCGAGTTGTCTATGGCTACATAAAGCGAAAGGTACCCTGTACCATTGTCCCTCTTGTTCCCATTAGGGTACACAACAAGTGTCCTGTGTGGATACATAATGTTTTATTATATAAGATCCGATGATACGAGTGAAGAAAGATCAATTTTCCAACGTACCAGTTGTATTCACCAACCGGAAAAGGACGAGACCGGTAGCTTTCTGTGTTCTTTGAATTAAGGAGAATGCTGAAAGATTCCATCTTCAAACTGTAAGAAGATGGAGCACGATTCCTCAGACCTACCACTGTGCTTGAAGCTGAGGCTCTATTATTATCACGTGATGAGATCTCCTGATGGTTATCTCTGGAATGCGCCTCCTCCAGGTCTGGGTTTCCTCCTGCTCCAATCTGGTCTGGCTCTAGACAAAAATTAACCAGAGCATGTGTCAAGTTGTTTAACAATACATAGATGGATCTCTTAAAATATTAAGAACAAAGAAAAGATGGCATACGCTGCAGATTTGAGTTGAAGTCATCAGTGAATTGTCGTATGAAGGAACGTTCAGAGGAGGCAGATGCGATGAAGAGACAAAGCAAGAGAGAAACAAAAGAGATTGTGTTTCTGTAGTGACTCGTCATCTTCTAAGGTGGTTATATATTTTAATGAAGTGAAGAGAACAGAAATTAGTGAGACTTGTATATATAGGTAGACTTGTATACCGAACTCTTTGAAGGCTCAACATATTTATGAGTTTATTTCTTTTTCATTTGTTAACCTAATTATTATTTTCATTGCCTCGTGGTTGACATGAAAATATAGAGTTGGCGCTATTCGGTTCTTAAGTAAAGGTTACATGTATCATGGCAAAATTGCAAAAATAAACCCTTCAAAGAATTATTTTTGTTTTTGTTATTTTCATTGCCTCGATCGTGTTTGACATGAAAATACAAAGTTGCATGGCGGAGTCTCCAAGGGATGCCACATGTGCAGCTGTGCTTTACGTGGATGTATCATTCTGCAGTTTCTTGGAGTTCTATTCAGACTTGCATGCATGAGGTGAAGAAAGTGAAGTGTGATATAAGCCAAACGTGACTTAGATTACTTAGAGTCTCATGTGTTTTTATGCATTGGTCCGATTAGTATTGGCGTAAGAAACGTTTGAACATGTGTTTTGGTGCACATCAGCACATATGAGTCAGGTTAAACTAATGATTTCAAGAATCATCCTTAATCTAAAATCAAAAGTTACTCATGTGTAGTGTAAGTGTGTAACCAACTAATTTTGATTTGGGCGAATTTTTACATTTAGATTCGTCGAAGCCAACGTCTAGATGACAATTTTCTTCAACGTTTTTCAATTTTATTTTTGACCAATATATAGAACTGTGAAACATGTTCTTCATCTACATTTTGAAACAGGAAGAACGAGTCTTTAACCGTACATGTGAATGCAGAACTTAATTTCAGTATAGAGTTAAATAAGAAATCCAAAACAAGCATCAAATATTCAGAGCCGTCCCTGGGAGCAAGCAGGGCAAGCAGCTGTTTGCGGCCCAGGTACAAATAACTATATTTTCGGCCCTAATTTAGACAAAAACCTCTCATAATCTACTGGTAATCGTCCTTCTTAAATGACTTTAGCAGTGTGAATTCGATTCCCTTTGAATACTTTTAGTTTTTTTTTTTTTTTTAAGAATTCGGCCCATATTGATTTTGGGCTTGCGGCCTCCATAATCTCAGGGACGGCCCTACAAATATTGTAAGGCTGGACAATAGATGATGTGTGAAAATTATGTTTAAAAAACTTTTTTCGCTATTTTACAGACACATTTCGGTATTTTTCTTGGAGCTTATCAACTATCCGGTTTTCAATATGAAAATTTAACTCCGTTCTGATAAATTACTTAGAAAATTTAGAAAAGCTTAAGAAGTCAAGATTAGATTATGTCAAATGTTGATCATTTTTTTTGTTAAAGGATTTTTAAATGTTGATCATTTTGATAATTTTGTTTCAGACTGATTAGTTCTTGATTGCATTCGTTTTTTTTTTGGCTTATCTTGCATTGAGGCCCACCTCATTGTCTATGGGGCGTTTGACGCAATACATAAAAACATTATACTATTTGGCTGTTCTCGTGAAACAACGCGCGTCGTTTTCTCAACCAAAAATTGTACCCTAGTCCAAATTTTATCAGCCAAGACAGTAAGCCAATGTCTGCAAGCCATCATCAGAGAACCAAAAGAGATTAACCATGGCATATTCTTAGAACAACTTAAGCTTAAACCAAACTCCCAAACAATATTCAGTCAACAAAGTGCTTGATTATGCAAAGAAGTCTCAATTAAAGAGAAGAAACTAACTAAGTAAAGCTCATAGCGTAATTCGTACATCAAAGCCATTTGCTTATAGAGAAAACAAAATATTTTACCTTAGATGATAAACCTTCTTTCATTTTTATGTTGAGTCTTATTTACTTAACAAAAAAGCATTTTTACAAAGTAAATGATATAGCTCTATTAATATTCTTTCATTTGCTCCACTGCCTAGTATCGAATCGACCATTAAATTGGTTACAAATAAAAAGCTTGCAATCAAGGATAATCTATCTAGTCTTTTATTTGCATCATTTGTTTTTACTTGTGAGAAAAACCATTTTTTATGCTCGAAGAGCAAAGACTCTAAACAGAACCATGGATAAATTTGGCCTTGTCTTCCAATAAATGCCACAATTAGGGAAATATTAAATTTGTTCTAAATGTTGAAATTTTTCTGAGAAAGAAATTATAGTGGAATATCCGATAAAACACAGAAGTCACTTATTTAAAAACGCAAACACAGATTCTTATTATTAAGTGGTTGATGATGAAACAAACATGGAACCGCAAATTCCTTGGTTAGAGAAATCTAACTAGGGAAGTACATGGTCGAAGAAATGGCCTCCATTTCGACTTGAACCCTTAACTCATCTCTCCCAAGGAAACTCCCAAGGAAAGACTTGAGATCAGAGAGTGGGATGAAATCATAACCCCAACGTCGAGATCCAGCACCGTACCACATATCCACTATCAACAAGACGTACGAAAGATTAAATAGTTAATGATGAGCCGATGAATATGCATGGATATATAAATCATATACTTACGTAGCTTTTCAACATTACTGGATGGGTTTTTGTTAAGAACTCTAAGCTTGGCTCGAACATAAATCTTCTCATCGGGTTTGATTTTCTCGTTCTCATCCATGTGAAGATACATCGACAATAATCTTCCCTCTCTCATACCATCACCATTTGGATACACTTGAAGTTTCCTGATCATCAATCATATGGAGTATTTGTTACTAAACTATACTCTCTTTTTTTTTTTTGCTTTTGGGTTAAAGACTACAACTAAACTCTAATTAAAAGATCACAAAAAAAATTATCAAAAAATATAATGAGGACTTACCAACGTCTTTCTCCAATGGAGAACACATCTGAAAAGTAAAAATCTTGGTGGAGCGTAGAGAATCTCTGAATCGTCCAAGTGTATGTTGGGTTAGGGAAATTTTGAGTGATAGTGAAAAGCTCCGACTTGTCAAAGTGAGTGGGAATAGTCACATCAACACCAAACTCGCAGTGATCTCCATCGTAAAGGTAACCATTTCTCGAGTCTCTAAACGTATCAAGAGGGAGAGCTTGGGAGAATCCCCACATGGTTTTGAAGACATTGAATCGCCAAACAGTTGTATCTGATCAATAACATATATAACAAGAATGATATATCTTTAGAGTATCTCCAATGGGAGTCTAGTCTCTCATAGACTCTTAGACACTTGTCTCTCTTTGATTGGCTTAAATTCTCTTATAACATCAAAATTAATTGTAAAATTAAATTATACCTTTACTATTGGTATTATATTGGATGAGAGCTCTAAACCCTTAAAGATGCTCTTAGTATATTACTATTTGTAGCATTTTTTTCTTCTTTTTGATTATTTTTTTCTTAAAAAAATTAGCAAAGAACCTTGGATTGTGAAGTACTTCCTCTCGTTCTTGTTGAATATGTAAAATTTGAGATCCGCGTAAACGTCTCTATGTGAAGCGACGAGGGTCGAGTTGTCTATGGCTACGTAAAGCGAAAGGAACCCTGTACCGTTGTCCCTCTTGTTCCCGTTAGGGTACACGACAAGTGTCCTGTGTGGATACATAATGTTTTAGTATATGAGATCCGATTGATACGAGTGAAGAAAGATCAATTTTCCAACGTACCAGCTGTATTCACCAACCGGAAAAGGACGAGACCGGTAGCTCTCTGTGTCTTTGTCCGTTGAATTAAGGAGAATCCTGAAAGATTCCATCTTCAAACTGTAAGACGACGGAGCTTGATTCCTCAGACCTTTCACTATGCTTGAGGCTCTACTATTATCACTTGATGACATCTCCTGATGGTTATCGCTGTAATGCGTTTCCTCCAGGTTTGGGTTTGGTTCTGCTCCAATCTGGTCTGGTTCTAGACAAAATTAACAAGCGTATGTGTCAAATTGTTTAACAATACATAGATGGATCTCTTTAAATATTACGAACAAAGAAAAGATGGCATACGGTGCAGATTTGAGTTGAAGTCATCAGTGAATTCTCGTATGTAGGAACGTTCAGAGGAGGCAAATGTGATGAAGAGACAAAGCAGGAGAGAAACAAAAGAGATGGTGTTTCTGTAGTGACTCATCATCTTTTAATTAAGATGGTTATATATTTGAATGAAGTGAAGAGAACAGAGATTATATATATAGGTGAGACTTGATAAGGAAGAGATGCTTTGTAATGCTTTATGATTTTTTTCTTTTTCTTTTGTATACCGAACTGTTATTTTGATTGCCTCGTGGTTGACGTGAAAATATAAAGTTGGCGCTATTCGGTTCTTACATTTTCTCATGGGAATATTGCAAAAAACAAAAACAAAAAACCTTTCAAAGAATTCGTTTTTGTTTTTTTGTTTTTGTTTTGTGTGTAAACTTAACTGTTATTTCCATTGCCTAGCTAGATCGTGTTTGACATGAAATTACAAAGTTGGCGCTATCGGTGCATGACGGAGTCTCCAAGGGATGCCACATGTTCAGATATGTCCTTTACGTGGATGTATCACTCTGCAGTTTCTTGGATTTTTATTCAGAATTGCATGCATGAGGTGAAGAAATGAAGTGTGATATATAAACCAAACATGGCTTTGATTAATTAGAGTCCCATGTGTTTTCTATGCATTGATCCGGGAAGTATTGGCGTAACAAAACGTTTTGAACATGTGTTTTGGTGGACGCATGAGTCCGGTTAAACTAATGATTTCAAGAATCATCCTTAATCTAAAATCGAAAGTTACTCAACCAAACTAATTTTCTGTTTCTACCTAAGAAAAAACAGCATAACAGCCTTCGGGCTTCGTTGCTTCATAATTGGGCCTTTAACGTAAGCCCACATCTTGTAAAAGGGTAAAATTCAAATTCTACAGACCAGTTTAATAACCCTATGTCTATGTGGAGGGCATTAATCTCAAAATTAAATTAAACAATCCTTCTTCTTCCTCATTGAATCCGCCGCCACAAAAAAGCCTTGTTCCTTGAGATTAGTTCTCTGATCGTATTTGGGTTTTGGGTTACTTTCTTAATTTCAACATCGTTGGATCCGATTATCAGTTTTAAATTTCACTCGACGGAGCTTGGATTTGGAGCTGAGCGAACGTCGCGGCGAATTGTTTGATTGGGGCGAAATTTAAGCTTAGATCCGTCGGAATCTGAGATGTCTGAGGAGAGGAAGAAGAGTAAGGTAACCGTCGAAGAAGTAGTTACAGAGCACAGTTCAATGAAGAAGGAGAAGAAGAAGAAGAAGGAGAAAAACCGAGAAATTGAGGATAGTTTTGCCGGAGAAGATGGAGAGAAAGCTGCGCGTGAGATAGAGAAATTGGGCGTTGAGGCTAAGAAGAAATCGGAGAAGAAAAGAGTCAATTCAGAAGCTGAGGATGATGCTAAAAAATTGAAGAAGAAGAAAAACAAAGAGAAATGTGTTGATTTTGAGGCTGATGATAATGGTGTAAAGAAATCTAAGAAGAAAAATGAAGATAAAAAGGCCGATTCTGAAATTGATGATGCTGTGAAGAAATCGAAGAAGAAAAATGAAGAGTCAGGGACCGATTCTGCAGCTGATGATGCTGTGAAGAAATCGAAGAAGAAAAATGCCGATTCTGAAACTGAGGATGTTGTGAAGCAATCGAAGAAGAAGAAGAAAAGCAAGAGGGAATCTGGTGGTGATGAGATAGGAAACAGTGAAAGCTCCAAAGTTGACGAGGGCACTGATGATGCTAAGACGAAAACGGGAAAGAGAAAGCGTGATGATAACGACTTGGGAGCTGAAGAAAACACCGAGAGCTCCAACAAGGAGATGAAGAGGAAACGTAAAAAGAAGAAGTCAAGTGTGGATTTAGAAGATGAAGAACACAGCTTTAGCTCTGCAAAGACGAAAAGCAAGGAGAAGCAGTCAAGTGTGGATTCAGAGGTTGAAGGAAACAGCTTGAGCTCTACTAATGATGCAGAGACGAAACAAACTGAGAATTCCGAGGCTGAAGAAAGCAGCTTCAACTCTACCAAAGATGCAAAGAAGAAAGGGAAGAAGATGAAGAAGCAGAGTGAAGGTTTAGAGCCTGAAGATAACAACAGTGACGCTACGGAAGTTGCAAAGAAGAAAGGAAAGAAGAAGCAGAGTGAGGCTAAAGAAAACAACAATGGTGGTGGAACTAAAGAAGCAAAGAAGAAACGGAAGAAGCAAAATTCCACAGAGAGTGAAAAAGACGTGCCAACAACACCATCAAGCAAAAGCGCAAAAAAGGTGAAATTTTCTGATCAAGTTGAAGTTTTTCCTGCTGAGGACAAAGAAACCGAAGACGAAGAAGAAGAAGCTGAGGTGGTGAGAGGTAAGCGGTTTACAAAGGAAGAAGATGAGCTGATAAGGAAAGCTGTATTAGACTACATTGACAACCATGCTTTAGGAGACGACGGTTTAGACATGATCTTGGAGTGCAAATCACACCCACAAGTCAAAGGCTGTTGGAAAGAAATCACAGCTGCTTTACCTTGGAGGGCATACAATGGCGTGTACAACCGTGCTCATACCATCTTCGAAGCAGGATCATCCAAAGGGATATGGACTAAAGAGGATCTCGAGCTCGTTGTAGAGTATCAGAAGAAGCACGGGAATGATTGGAGAGCGCTTGCGGATGCGATGGGGAAGAACAGGAAGCATGTGAAAGACGCGTGGAGGAGGATAAGACTGACTTCGAGGAACAAAGGACATTGGTCGAGGGAAGAGTATCAGAGTCTCTTTGATCTTGTCAACACTGACTTGAGAATGAAGGCGTTTCATGAGAAGCACTCGAAACATGGGATGCTCAGAGATAACATCCCTTGGATGGCGATAAGCGACCGGCTTGGAACGAGGACTCACGTTGATAGCTGCACGAAGTGGTACGATAAGCTGATGTCGCCGATGGTGGCGGAGGGAGTATGGGCTAACGTGGATGATTATAGGCTCTTGGACGAGCTTACGAGCCTGGACGCTGCTTGTATTGATGATGTGGATTGGGATACGCTTTTGGAGAATCGAGATGGGGAGGCTTGTAGGAAGCGGTGGAACCAGATGGTGCATCAGATTGGTTTGCCGGGAGCCAAGACGTTTGCGGAGCAAGTTGAGATCTTGTCTCAGAGGTATTGTCCTGAGTTGGCTGAGGATAGAGAGGATTTCGACAATAGACCTTTTGATCCTGAAGATTAAGTCTAGAAAGTTTTTTCTTTTTTGTTGCTTTTATGTTCTACAAACTTTACTGTGATCTTTATGTTTAGTGAACTGAAAACGATGAGAATTTTTGCTATAATCCACAACCAATGATGTTAGCCAGAAGTTGAGTTACAACTTACAAACATGAATTTTGCATATGATAATGTGAGCTTTAGATCTGCAGCTGTTGAGAACCACTTGAAGCAACTCAAACGTTAGCTAAGGCTCATACTTTGTACAAGTTAACTTTGATTCTGAAGTATCTAAGGTCAGAGATAAACATTTGATGCAATTGAAACTTAAGATATGGTTTGCAGGATGTGAGATTGAAGATGAATCTCTGACTTGATAGCAGAGAACACTAAAGAACAAAAGCAGCAAAACAGAGCACAACAAGGATTCCTTAGATGTGTAACTTTTTAGTCATTCATTCCAAGGAATTCAATTCATCATTTCCCAAAAGGGCTTAGAGATTAGATAGTCACACTTGTGATCAGATCAAGCCAACAAAAATCTTGTCAATATCTACTACAAACGAAAAGCAAGAAGTCTCGAGACTCTCTTAACACCATCTCTAACAGACTTCGAACTATCTTCAGTAGTAGTGGTTCTCAGCGAGCTTCGTACTGAACAACTGCAAGAGATAAAACAAAGGACCACATAATTAGCCGGAAAGAAGTTGACGACATCTGTATTTTGTACAAGAAAAGGTAAACCGGAATGTAGTTGATACAAAGGTACAAACACTCGAGATAAATTCAACTCATGGCTATAACATTTGTGTTCTTTTGAGTGAGACACATTTTGAGATTGTGGCATCACAAGACGAAAGAGGAGTCAAAGAAAACAAACTGACCTCTACGGGTACGCTTCTTGTAGAGGATACGGTAACCACACTCTCTGCATTGGATCACATCCCCTGACTTGAGAGTGTTCTCTTGTCCACAATCTTCAAAACATTCAGCAAAAAAAGTTATGCAAACGATCAAATCAAACAATGCAGAAAACAAAAGCATGAATGATCAGATTGATTTATGTCCTCTAACTAACCAGGTATGAAATTTCATATAAAGATTAGGATTTGAAGGCATAATATATTTTTCCCAAAACTAGTGTGCTATGAGCTAGAAACGAAAAGCTCCCATCTTTTTACACAACTATTAAGTTTCAACACAAGAATTCGATATTCAATGAAGTTTTCAAGAGGAAGAAGAGAATAGTCGAGCTTACCTCCACAGACGTAGGTAACAGGTTCGGGAGGTGCATCCGAATCGAATGTTTGTTAGAGCAGAGAATGTTCAAGAAGGTATGCTATAATACCTTAGTTTGTGCGTATACCATTCTTAAGTCTATTTTTTCACCCTCTAATAAGTATAGGATAATAAAAAAGGAGTTGACATAAATTATCCCAGACTGCTCTCGCACTGGCAACAATACTAATCTCATAGTGCGGTCAATTAATTTCTCTAAGGCGTAATTTGATTTTTTTCCCATACTTACCTTAGAGTTTACAGATAGTATGGTACTATCTAGAGAAGTGTATTCTCTAGAGAATGGTAACTTTGCTGTGTTTATGATGTATATCGGATGATTGCATCCAAAGTGATAATAGATATTATGATAGACAAGTAATCTCGTCCGAAAAGTATTTAACGTAACGACTATTGCACATTACTCTTCGTATTCTATTTAACACTTATGGGCCTTATTAAGAAGCACATTTTATCGTAATTTGTGGACTGCGTGCGATAATACTTACCTTAGAGTTCTACAGAAGTAGGGCTTCTGAAGTTGATTTCAAGAGAATTCTGTTTCGGAGACGAAGAGATCTATAATGTAATGATGGCGTCTGGTTTTAACTTTGAACATTACTCTTTCGTTTACCTATGGGCCTTATTAAGAAGCCCATAACATTTGGGCCTCAAAATAGGTTTTAGAAACGCCCGCTCAATAGTTTCTTGTAGCTCACGTTTTGAAACATTCATGAAAATTGCTACTTTTTGTGTTCTACTACTATTCATGCCAAGCTATAAAAACTATGAAAAGTTTGCATTTAGAGTTTTGCCATAATGCACAAAACATTCAAGATTGATAATGTTTACGATGGTCCAAAGTACATACAAATGGGAGGATTGATTCTCAAGATTGAAAGAACCGCAGACGGAATAGTCCAAATTCCATCGCCACAGATCAAACCTGAAGCAACTGCACTCGAGTAATCATCTGCGTCTTTCTTGTTCATACGTTCCCACACAAACAAAATCACAGTTCCAACAAACATGTCCACGGCGAAGTAAGCTCCAATGTAGAACGGAGCAGCCATAGCCATAGGAAGTGGTACAAACTTAGAGATCTTTAACGGCGTAACGTCTCTGACAAGATTCACAGTCAGAGCAGCCACAAAGAATCCGCAACAGAGAGCCAAACAATGCTTAGGAAGTTTCGCAAACCCTTCGATCCCGAGAATAGCCATTTCGCGGTAGATAACAGCGTAAGGAGCCTTGTAAAGACCATCAGGTTCTCCAACGTCGAAAGCAGTCCAAAACATCCAAAACGTGAGAGGAGCGATGACGCAACCCATCGCTGTGCCTAGAAGCTGAGTCACAAACATGGACTTTGCAGATGATAACGTGAGGTAACCTGTTTTGAAGTCTTGCATGAGATCTGCTGCGGTTGAGACAATTGCCATCATAAGTCCACAAGCTGCTAAACCGGCGATGACTCCTCCACCGCTGTTTCCTACGACGGAAGCGATTGTGAAGAGACCAATCTTTCCGTATGTTGAAGGAAGGCTCATATCCGTGAGCCCCGCTCCGTAGGAGTTGCAGAAGGCGAGAGCCGGCGCGATCAAGTATGAACAGAGGACAAAGTACCATTTCAATGGTGGGAATATCAATGGGATTGTTGCGGTTGAGATTGCTGCAAGACACACATAACAAGAAACCGCAAAGCCGAGTGGTATAGGGTCTTTTAGAAATACTTCATCTCTCTTTAGTGATTCTGAGGTCTCGCTCTCATCTGTATCAAGAAACTCTTAAGAACATGTTTGTGACAGAGACAATTACTTGAAAATGCTATGTTTTGGTCACCTGAAATGTCGGTGAAGACAGGTAGGTGTTGTTGTTTGGAGCTTTTGTTGCAGAGTTCCTTCACAGTGACAACGATGATCTTGATGAGGTTGTAGAGACCATCACCAAGGATGATAGTAATGGCGATAAAGACCTAACTTACCACAAGGAGAGTATCTGTGTTACCACAAGAACTTTCAAGATATTATTTCCAAATTTGATCTGCTTATTGTACCTTATATCCGTAGAGACCTTTGAAATCGTTGGCGTCAAGGTCAGATGGATACCAATCTCCAGCATGGTGTGATATAAATGGCCAGAGAAAGCCCCAAGAAATGATAGCGCCGAGAAGAACAGAGCAGTTCACTAAATGGGGACATATCAGACCACATCCAATAAAAGTAGGACTGAAATCAAAGTAAAACCTGTGCAAGCAGAAACGTTGCCAAATTTCAATCCACATTTTACTAAACTGGACTATTAGAGAAACTATGAGTATATACTTACGTGTTCTTGAAGAGAGTTAAACCAAGTGTGGGGAAGTGATCAAACCCACAAGCATCTCCAATACCACTAAAGAACCACTTGAAGCAACTCCAAACTAAGCTTAGGCTCAGGTATTTCCCAAGACATTTAACTTGGTTTCTGAGAGAGAAACATTTAATGAAAACTCCGTCTATAATTTAGTGAGATTAAAGATGGACTCTCTGACTAATTACCCTGCAAGCTCGGCTCCAGAGTTGTCATGGAAACTGTTAATCAGCATCGCTGTAGCTGTTCCGCTAGGATACGTAAGCTTGTAGTCCAAAATCATCACCTGAGATACACACTTTTCAAAAAAGATCAAGAGAGATGATCACACAATGAACGACTGTTCTCTTAGACAGTTTATGATTATCAAAATCATGACCTTTCGAAGTGGAACGAGACTGAAGAGACCGAGGAAGCTGACTACAACTAAGAATCCAATCATCCACCACAGTCCAGGATTTATAACATCTTCTGGATTGTTTCCAGGATAATCAGCACCAATGAGCTTGTATGTCTTCTCATCCATTGCAATCAAATACGAACCAAATCCTCCTGACACACCAAAATCAAAAGCAAAGACCGATCCAATCAGAAGAAGCTAACACTACACAACAAGACTGGCATTTTCAAAGGAACAGAGAAGCAAAAATTTCAACATTTAAACGAATTAAGCATTTCTTCGAACAGTTGATGTGCAAAAATTCAAAGTTGATTTACCACTATAAGCGAGGCCGTAGCAAGCAACAACGCAAGTCTGAATAACAGTGTTCTCTTGCTTGGTAAAGGGTTTAACGCTAAACCCTAAATTCGACAACAAAGCAGTCCACGACTTGACGAAGAAGAATCCGAGAAGACCAGCAGCTACATTCAGCGAAGGAATGATTCCGATTGTGAGATTGAGCTTATGGGTGATGATACAGAACAAAATCCCCAGCAAGGCGCTAGCGATTAAGCCTCGGATTGTGATCTGATCCTTCCACTCGGGAACATCTTCGTCGTCGTAGTGATCGAGATTCGTCGCAGAATTTGCCGGTAACAATGTCTCTGAGATCTCCGTTGACTTTGGAGGAATCTCCGTCTCCATAACTAGGATAATCTACTTACTTCCTTCTCAATACTTGGGAAGCTCAAGCTGAAACCGAAATCACCTGAAATCTTCGGTCAGATTTTCCGGTAGATAAATTCATCGAAGAAGACGGAAGCGGAAGAACAACATCGTGAAGGAAAATGGTATAGTTGACTGAATTTTGCTGTTATTAAAATGGAAGCAAGTGCCACGTGTACTGATGTTAATGTGACTTGTAGTTTTAGTTTCCCGCCTTATTATTGGACAGAGAGTATAATTCTATACAGTTAAAATATTTCTCCCGTTATTCAATTGACAATTTCCTTTTCCTT